CCAGATTAAGTTTATAAAGCTCATTTGGAAGAAAAGAATAGAGAAGCAAATTTTGAATAGATTTAGAAAAATTTAGCAGCTACATATTGTAATGGATTTGTAAATGCAGGATTTAAGAAAGATGCATTAATGAGTAATAAAGAGAATTCATGGTTGAGTAATGTTAAAAATGATCATACAACAATAGCAGCAGTAGCTAGTATAGGATTAATAAATTTATGGAATATTGATAATGGTACAGAATAAATATCTTAATATTTTGATTTAAGTGATATGTATACAAAAGCAGGAGCTTGTATAGGATTAGGATTATTTTGTAGTGGAATAGTAGATGAGAATTAACCAGCATAAGCTATGTTATTATAATAATTGGAGGATCCTGAAATTTAAGTAAAGATTGGTGCTGTAATGGGTTTGGGATTAGCATATGCAGGATCAGCACGAGTTGAATTATAAGATTAATTGATAAGTGTATTGATTGAATCAGTTAGTGTTGAATTATCAGCAATGGCTGCATTATCTTTAGGTCTCATATTTGTAGGAAAATGTAATGATGAAGTAGCAAATGCTATTGTCCAAATTCTAATGGATAGACCAGATACATAATTTGATATGTCAATTTCAAGATATTATGCAGTTGGATTAGGTTTACTCTATCTTGGATAAGCAGAAGCAGCTAGTGTTATCATTGAATCACTTGCTCTTATTAATCATAAGATTGGTAAATATGCTAAAGTTACTATTACTTCACTGGCATATGCATCTACTGGAAATGTCCTTAAAGTTTAAGAATTATTAGGATATTGTTCAGAAGTAACATCTGATGATAAAGGTACAAAAATAGATAAGAATTATGAACTTTAATAAGTAGCTATTCTAGGAATTGCTTTAATTGCTAGTAGTGAAGATATTGGCAGTGAAATGGTTTATAGAATCTTTTAACATATTTTATAATTCTCAGATGTGGAAGTAAAAAGAGCTATCCCATTAGCTGTAGCTTTAATTAATGTAATCTTATATTTAATTATTTATTTAGATATCTAATCCTAAAATATAACCAATGGATTTATTACTTAAACTAGCCCATGATAGAGATTAAGAATTATCTTATCGTGCTACTTTATCTATGGGATTATTGGGAGCTGGAACCAATAATTCTAGAATTGCTGATAAATTAAGAGGATTAGCTGTTTATTTCATGAATGATTCTAATGGTTTATTCTTAGTAAGAATTGCTCAAGGTTTATTACATATGGGAAAAGGATTGTTAACTCTTTAACCTTATTATTCTGATAAGTTTTTAATTAATAAGGTGGCTATTGCTGGAATCATTTCATTTTTACATGGATGTTTAGATATCAAAAATCTAATACTTGATAAGAATCATACATTACTCTATTATCTAGGTATTGCTATGTATCCAAGAATGTTTTTCACAGTAAATCTTTTTATTTATTTAGTTAAATGATAATCTTGAAAATCTCCCTGTTTAAGTTCGAGTTGGATAAGCTGTAGATGCTGTTGGATAAGCTGGTAAACCAAAAAGAATCACTGGATTTTAAACTCATACTAGTCCTGTCATTGTTAGTGCAGGAGAAAGGTAATTCTATTTCTTATCTTTTAAAGAGCTGAATTAGCTAATGATGAATATATGCCTGTTTAAGATATGATCTTAGAAAACTTTGTTATCTTAAAGAAAAATCCAGATTATAAACCTGAAATTGAATAACCATAACGTAAAAAGACTAGTTTTAGCATGTGATTATATATAATAGTATACCAATATGTAACTTTTATTATTTCAACTATTTTATTAGGAATTAACTTTATTATCACCAATAATCATTATTTATTTATTCAAACATTCTTAACTTTGTCTACTGGTTCCTTATTTTTTATATTACTCCCATTAAACTCCCTAATTTTACTTTCTGTATTTTTAATGGCTCTTCCCTTATCAATTTTTCTTATCTCAACATCATTTCTAATTTTGTTGAAATCACATTCACATATTTTTACTAACCCTATTTTATCAAAGACTTTGGTATTTATCTCCCTGTATCAATTGATTGTTAAGATATACTTCTTATCTTTGTTATTTTCTACATTTATTCATCAATCGATTTCTTTTCACTGACATTATCTTTCAATCTATATCTTATCCCTGACATTATTACAACATTTTTATCCGGTAAATATTTCCTAATAGATTCATTCAACTATTCCATTGTACTAACATCAATTGAAGCCTATTACTTTTAAAATAGTTCTGCAACACTTTAATTATTTGAAACTACCAATTCTAATTTTACTAATTAAGTAATTACTTTTTAAAATTATCTTCTTAGAATTTGAAGAATTGCAAATTGAATTCTAATTGGCTATTTAAGTCTTTTATATGCTATTTCTTTCTGTTATAGATTTTAATCCTTAAAGTGCCAATTTAATATTTTTTTATTTAATCTACATTTTACAACCTAATGTATCATCTAGTTCAATTGATTTATCCCTATTAGAATTTAAACAAGCTTAGCTACTGGTATGAATTTTGTTCTTCATTCTTTTATCTAATAATGCTATGATTTCTTCAACATTTTCAGGATTAGTGCAATTAATAGATTTATCTTTCATATTCATATTCATTTTCTAAATTTCTTTTTGAAGTTTATTTATATTCATAGTGATAGCATGTAAATACAAAAAATAATCTTATTAACTATTATTTGTTGATGCCATATATTCTTTATAATTAATCCTTTATAATGCACTTTAAGTCAACCCTAATTTCTTCATTGCAATTTAAGTTATTGAAGAAGTGTAATCAATCTTTGAATCTAGAATTTATTTCATGTGTAGAATTGGAATTTTGCTCATTTATTATAAAATATTAAACTAAAAGTAATTATTTTAATTATATTATCAACTTTCTTTTATTTATTCATTATTATCCTGCTCTTTCATCTTTTTAATTTGCAAATAATAATTTAGTTAATTCTTCAATGGCATTTTAATTTTGAACAATTACACAAACTTTTTTTAGATCACATTTCAATTTCATATCTAAAACAGAATATAAATAAGATAATAATTTAATATCTTGATTATCTGTTCGGATATGTAATGAAAATGTAGGTTACAATCTATTATTAACAACAACTTAATTTAAAAGTTTGGCTGCCTTATCTGCTGGTAGATGAGTTTCTACAGCAGTTTTAAAGAGAGGCCAATTATCAGCAAATAAAGACTGATATTTTGATTTGACTAAATAACAATATAGTTATTCAGGTGCTTCTATTTCAACTTAATCATTAATTTAACTATGTTCTTCTGCAAAGATTTCTTATGGAACTTCTTTAAGTAAAGGCTAGAAACTAGAACTTAAAACATCTACATTCAGATGTGTGGATTCTTCAGGATAGAAAATCAAGAGTACTTCTTCATGAAAAGGTTTTTTTCTTTATTCACTTGTGAAAGGAATAACTTAATTTTCAGTTTTACATTCATCTGCCCAAGTAAAATTAGGTAATTAAAGCACTTCATTTAAAGGCTTAAGCATATCTTCATAACGAGTATCCTCTAAAACCATATAAAAATGAGTTATTTCTGCCTATTTTTCAGGATCAAAATCGTGCAAATCACTCCAAGTGTTATTCCAAATATTTAGTTTAGCTTTTTGTAAATGTTATCTTAATTATGGATAATAACCACGGAAACAACCAAATCCCATTCTTATAGATAATTCTATTATTGGTTAACTTTGAGTAAAGAGTAAGGTTTGAATATCTTCGCATTTCTTAGATCGAAATTATCCGCAAGCTGTTATTACTTTACATCTTTTGCATCCTCTTATAAACATACTAGATTCAACAGCAGCAAAAAACATTTAACAATCAAAACAATCATCTATTAAAATTTATGCTGAGAAGTCCAAAATAAAGATTTTACAACGGACACAATTTCTTAATACAAAAGCTTCTCCATCAACTTCACCTGGTTTCTTTATTAATAATTCATCCTATTTGTCATAAAATCTATATTTAGAAGCATCTTTTTTTCTTAATTCCCATGACTTTGGTCTATTGTTTTACATTTGAAAAAGAAAAAGAAAATATTAATAAAAATAAAAAATAATTAAAAAGAAAAACAATAATCATTGATTAGGAAGTGATTCTATTTCTTCTTAGAGTATATTTTAAACACATTTTGGATATTCATAATTTTTATACCCTCTAAATAAAGGAGTGTACTCTTTCTAAAATAATTGAAATAAATGAATGAAAATACCAAATAAGCTAATATATTTTTAGCCATCTAATCTTTTTTAATAGTAAATGATGGAATGATCAATTCTGGCATAATAGGTACATTCTCTCTATTATATACCCTTAATCTATGTTCTTCAGGATCCATTCTTCCGAAACCTTTAGTAATTTTATTTTTCGTTGTAATATTTAAAATAGGAGGCTTCTTTTTTAATTTCTCTAAATACTCTTAAAAATTTACTGCAAATAATGTAGGATTCTATCTTTTCTCATACATTCTTTATAAAGTATGATCATATATTTATTCTCTCTTTTTTACTGCTTCTGAATATGAACATTTATCATCTTCTCTATTCAGTATAATTTCTTATTATTTTGGTTCCTAAACTATAGACTCTATCTCTTCTTATTGAGTTTCATCCAATACTTCAACATCCTAAATTTATGGATTGGTCATAAAATCTAAAGCTCTTTTTTGATCATCCTCATTTTCTATTTATTGTTGTTGTGCTCTCAATTTTTCTATTCTTTCTCTTTCCATTAACATTCTATAAGCTTTAATCTTTTTATCTATTTATTTAATAGCTTCTGGAATTGGAATTGGTTTAGGCACATACTACAATATTAATTTTATAAATTTTGTACTGGTTGAACATATTAAATAGAAGGCTATGGAAGCATAATCATTTCTTAATTAGTCTTTGGTTTACGACTTCCTTGATAAATATTAATAATTACAAAAACCGTTGTGCATTTCTCATCTATGGAGGATGTGCTGGATCCTCTTTATCATTTAAAAATCTTGTCTTTTACCCTTATGATTTTGCCTTATGTTCTATAAACTATCTTTAAGGAATTTGTTTTTCTGACATTCTAATTTATAATATAATTAAATATTATATAAATGATCTCTTAATTAAATTCAAAATTAATCAAAATTTAGAATAATACAAATCATTAAATAAGTTTTCCATCATTCCTTTCTGTCTCCACTACTTTATCAACTCCTTACTTAATTACAATTTATTATAAAGTTCTTAAACTATTCTTTCCACTTTCAATCTTAAACTCCATATAATTTTATGGTTAATCTAATTATAATTATTCACTAAAGATTTTTGTAATATCATGTCCCAATAGATGAATTAGTTTTAGATCTACTTCCAATTAACACTTTGGAACATTTTCATCTTCAATCTCTTCTAACATATCTGTGTAAGCCTAGTAAACTATATTATGTAAATTTTTATCATAATAATTAAGTTACTATTTAAATTAATTTTATTGAATCGGCTATTCATCATCTTCAAAATTCATTCTTGTTGGTATCATCTAATCATCATTCAATGCAATTATAGGTTTTGGTGTGAAATTAAATAGAATTATTTAAGATTAATTAAATAACACTTCTTTTAATTTGTTAATCTCATTTATTTTAAACAAAATACTATGCAAATCTAAATCTTCATTCATTTTATCACTATTTTTAAATTATAATATATTTACATAGCTTTTTTTAAAAACTTAGAATTTCTTTCATTAAAAAACATTCCACATGTAATTTAATTTAAAAATAATTTTACACTAAATCTTATTGGTTCAGATTTTTTAATTAATTTCTTAAGTACATTCTATCTAATCACTGTATTTGATCTTTTTTTCACTATCAATTTAAATCAAAAACATACCATCTCCCTCAGAATTTTTAGTATCCAAAAGTCCTTTCAACTTAAAAGCATCTTAAATGAATCTTGGTGTTTTTGAACATATCGAAGGACTACTTGATAATCTTTCTTATCCTTCCTTAAAATCATACAATTTATTAGATAATTCAATTAATACTATTGTTTTAATATAAATATTACATGAAGTTCTATTATAGAAAGCAATAAATAGCCCAAAAATTAATTTGGTTATTTACATGAAACCTCCAAGATAAGATAATAATTCTCCTATTTATTAATAATTTCTATCGATTAAGGCATTCATCTAACTTCTTCTTAAAAAAATCTCTGCATAATTTTGATTATTTAATGTAGATGTTAATGATAGATCTCTAAAGTCTTCAGAAGTTCTCAAAATAATTTTTTGTTTCTCTATTTCCTTAAATGGTACTATACTATTGTCATTATTAATTTCATATTATCTGTAATAGATGTTTGCCATATTAATGAAGGATTTAGGTACAAAGTTAAAATATAAATCGCTATCTAAATAAGTTTCAAGATAATTATTTGGCGATCCTGGATTTACAACTGTATTTATTTAATAAACTTAAAGTTTGAAAAAACCATCTTTAGCAAATGCATTATTAAATTACTCTAAACTTGCACATATTGGATTCCATGAATCATTTTAAGGATTTGTAGAATTAACACAATCCTTTACTGTTATTTTGACAAAATAAAAATTCTCACTCCCATATGCACCTTATAATTTGAAATTAAAATCATTTCTAAAATGATATTTAAAAAATATTTACTAAGGGCATAACCAATTTTCCATTCCTAAAGACTCAAATTATTATTCTATAATTTCTGAATTACCATTCTTCACTTTTGTAGTAAATTGATCTACTGTGCAAGGCTAAAGACTATAAAAACTACTTGTTTTTTTCATTGTTCCATTTGCTTATCTATTATAATACCTAAAATGAAATTGATTACTACTTTTATTCTAAAGTAATATTGAATAAAGGTCGATTTGTAAAGTTGACTTAATCAATAGAAAATGCTGTCATAAAATTAGTATTATTCAAAATAACCATATCTGGATCAATATTGAATAGGGTTTACTATTTTGCACTAGCCTTTTACTTTGTCACAAATTCCACTATATTACTATAAAAAAATATTCCAAGAAATATAATTATCAATATAGATGATACTCCACCAAGCGAAGTTGTGTAGCAATTTTGTTTGTTCATATTTAGAGTTATGAATTATCCGAAAAAATCAAATTTCTTCATAGCTAATTTCTTATAATTACAATTTACTTTATTGTAGAGCCATCATCATTTGATCTAAATAAATAAGGTTTTTAATAATTAATAATCTATATATCGATCGATATGAATAATAATTTGTTAAATCAATTTAAATTTATATCATTATTTTAAATTTATGATGTGGTTTGTATAATTTTACTAACCACATTATTTTATATTTAATTTTGATTCTTATTATGAATAGGTTTAAAAATTCTATAACAAAATTATTTATAGGGAAGTTTTATAAATTGTAAATATAAAACTATTTAAATTTAACATTAAAAAAATTATAGAAAAAATGGAAATGTTTAAGTAAAATAATTAAAATTTTATTTCCATTTTATTAAAAAAGTAATAATTTTTTTTCTAATTTTTTTTTTCTTTATTTTTCCTTTAAACCTTACAAATTCATAATCAATTATAAATTTTTAGCTCAGATATTAAAATTCATCCAACTAAATTAATTTGATATTATCGTATTTTTATCTATTATCTAATTTAAAAAGTGGAAGATTAATTAATCAATTCCGTAAAGTTAATAAAATGTAAAATTAAAAAGAAAAACTAGTAAAGATAAATAAAGAAATATAATTATTTTTAATTTATGATAAATTTAATGAATTTATGAATAATGCTTAAATTAACATAATAATCAACTAAGTCTATACAAAATGACTTGTTCATTTTTTCCATACAAATTTTCTAAGTGATACGAAATCTTAATATCCAAATGTCTTGGATTCTATGTATTCTTTTTTACAGCAATACTGCCTGAGATAACATCATTGCTTTTCACAGCCAATGGTTCTTCAATATAAAAGACAGTTTATTTCCAATGAGTACTTTCTGCATAAGGGGATGTAGTCAATCTAACAGGTACATGACAACTAGAAAATTGTACATCAAACCTTTTTGATATAACAATAACTATTACCATCCAACTAAGGCATGAACATAATCATCTTTTTAGACTTTTAATATATATTGATGACTAAAATCTAGATCATCAACTTTAACAGTCTTAAGATCTATTTCAAAAATAGGACATGAATTAGAATTAATTTACTCAGGATTACAACAATCTACTAAAGGTTCTCTAAGTGCCCATTATTTTATACAACTCATATTTACACCATAAACATTATCCCTATTAATTTATTATATATAAATATTACCAAAAATCAATTTTTGATTTTCTATATTCATCATCTTCAATTGTTGCCAAATATAAAATGGCTTTATCTGGAAACATATGACCATCAGCAGCTAAATACTTATCTCTTGCATAAAGAACACAATCTAACATAGATTCATAAAGAAGAAAGTAACTAAATTTTAGTTTATTTTATAATATACCCCATCCATTCAGAAATTATTATGTCAACTTTTTCAACTGGTAATTCAATTTCTTCTATCTTTCCTTTTACAATAGTAATTTATTCACTCAAACCATTATCACTTATTATCTTTCTTGCATGTATTGCTATATTGGCATTTTCAACTGCATAAACATGCTTTGCTCCAGCTTATGCTGCAAAAATTGAAAGAATTCCGGTTCCTGCTCCTACATCTAAAACTATTTTATTTTGGAAAAGTTGCTATGCTTTTAAAATATTATATTTACCTTGTTCTTAAGTATAGCATTTTAATAAGCTTTTGTTCTGATCTTATCCTTTAACATTTCTTCATGAATACTAAAATGAGAATATGAATCAAAATAATAATCAGCATCCTTTATATAACCATCTTAGTGATCTGAATCACTTTTCAAGAAGCAGGTTTCAAGATCAAATCCTTTTTCTGTTGATTTTTTTATTTTTATTGTCTTGTTGTTGTTCATTATATTATATATATATTATTCATCACTAATAAATAGGTTTAATTACATAAATTATACTTAAAATTTATTTTATTCTCAACCTCAATTTATTTTTATTTTCATTCAATTTTCTTTGTATTAAGATTATATTTCTATTCTAAAATCATTTAATTTTCCATATTTTAATTACATCATTTTCTAAATAGAAAATTTATAAAGACAAATGATGCAATTTATGATTTACATTATCTTTACTTTTAAGCGTTTCTTATTCTATATAAAAAGAATTATGAATTAAGATAATATAAATCTTTTATTCGAATATTTTTATTACTCAACAAAAATATTTTACAGAAGGATTATTATATAAAAAATCTAAATTGAATTATTTATTTTTATGATTTACTACTTTACATTAATATATAATTGTATTAACAAATGGCTTAATTTATTGAGATAAGATTATAATTAATCTAATTTAACTTTAAGCATTATGTAATTATTTTAAACTTATTCCTCCTTATTAGTAATAAATTATGTCAAATTCAATTTTTACAACTTTTGAATATTTTATAGTTTTTGAAAGTTTAAATAACTTGCCATACTAGTACTATTACTTTTTTGTCAATTAGAAATTATTTGCATTAATAAATTAACTTGTTGTTTAGTCGATTATTGATGTGGTAATCCAAGTTTTATATTTTTTGAAAAAATATTTATTATCATTCAATACTAATTTTTGCATGCCATAGCAAATGATTGCTAGAGAATGAAATTATGTATTACGTAAGTGAATTATTTTTATTATTGAGACATTTTTTTTTTCGATATCAATATTATGGGGTGGCTGACTTTATCAATTAAAGAATTTCTATTTGATGGTGTTAAACTACATTCATAGAATTTTGAGATTGATATGAATTGTTTATATTATGAATAATAAATATTTACTCTTCATTATTCAATGTGGAAAGGACAAAACATAAACCAATATAATTTTAAAAATTGAATTATAGAATTTCAAAAAAAAATAAAAATTGGAATAAATTGAAAACTGGTATCTATATTTTATTAATATATTGAAATGAAAATATTTCTTTTTTTATTTTTTATAAAATAACTTAAAACTCAATAGATGGATTTTTTGAATTAAGATATGAAGATTGTGCAATAAGATAAATTAAGTAAAAAAATAATGGAAATTTTTTTGTTTATTGATATGTAGATATATTTGGAAAGGACTTAATTTCATCTTCATTCTGAAATGGTCCATTTTAACTTGAATGATATAATATCAAAAAAAGATGTAGAAAAAAAAAGAAGAATTCTTAAGAATTTAAATTATTAGGGGCAAGGCTTTATGAATTAATAACTTAGGTTGAACTTAAAATTCATATTTTACAATTTATCAGAACTCAATTATAAATTATATAAAATTTAATTAATTCTTAGGAAATGCAATTTTAATTTAATTATGATTAAAAATTTTGAATTCTTTTTTTTATTCTAATAATTGTTATAGTGACGAAAAAAGACAGATTCTTGATATAATTGAAGGTATAGAAATTGGAAAGCTTGCATATTTAATAAGGGATGGAACTTTTGTAATTTAGTTAATTAATATGATTCTAAAATTTATGTTTTATTTTAATTACACATTTATTAATTTTGAAATGATTTATTCTGAGATAACAGCTTAAGAGTAGAAAGAAATGGGATAATAAAGTATTGATACATAAGAGTAAGTAATAGATTAATTATAATAATTGAAAACTCGATAAAACTAAGTAATTTATGGAGTTATTTTAGGAACGATAAGAATATATGGTTTTTTTACAAGAGTACATAATAGATTGCCTTACTTATGAAAATGAAGAGATTGAGGATGATGTAAAGAGATTTTATAATATCAGTAGGTTGTTTAAACAATAAAAAATATATGTTAAAAAATGGTATTCAAACCATTATGGAATTATGAGGATTTGATAGTGGAATTAGAGCAGGAATTAGAGATTTAAATGGGTAAGTATAAGCTTTTTATATTGAATATTTTTAGATGATTATATCGTATTGAATTAGGTGAAATTAATCATTTCCAGTTTAGATGCATTATCTTAAAACAAGTTTAATTAAATAAGTTTCAACAATGTTTAAGGATTATAAAGCTTAAGTTGTGCATCTAAAGTTTAATTAAAGAGGTTGAATAATTATATAGAAGGTAATAATTAACAATAACGAAAGTACAAGAATTAATACCTAACTAATCAGATAGAGTGGATGAGATTCATTAGATACTTACAACATAAATATAGTAAAGTAGATTATTTAATACTAGACATCATGATAATATCCAATTAATGGATTATTGGAGTTATCCTATTTATTAATTAGCAAGCATAACTTAATAAGATTTAACATATTAGGTCAAAAAATAGAATACAGATGTTATTTTGATGGATACTTATGGAATAAATCAAGAGGTAGCTAGAGTTCTGTTTTAGCTATTACCAGAGTATGAAGTTATTTTGCCTTAGTTTCTATCCACAATTAACTTAAGCAAGGGAAATTTATAAAATGTAAGAAATTGTAAATTATGAATTGTATAAGGTAATATCCAATATCTATGATGTATAATTAAAAATGATTGAGTAATGGAATCCTTTTAGTTTTAAAGGGAAAGGAATGGTATGTTATTAGAATGAAGGTTTTTCAGGGGATGAATTTATATGTTTTTATTTCGGCGAAGTTTATACACCTTAAAGATGGTTTGAGAAATAGACAATATTTCATAAGAGAATGTAAGATGGTAATCGAAAGACATGTTCATAAAGTCCTTATTCAGAATTCTTTATTAATGATGATCTATTAGTAATGTTTAAAATTATGTTTAAGTTTATTGATCCAACAAGGTATGGTAATATGGCATAGCATATATCCTATTCATGTGATCCAAATTGCAGGTTAATAACACTTATAGTTAATTCATAACACTTATAAGCTGTTATCACATCAAGAAAAATTAATTATTTAGAAGAACTGACTTTACCTTTTCCTTTGACTTCTTTAGATTCCTGTTTATGCGGATCATTACATTGCAAAAGAAAATAATTGTTAGAAATAGAAAATAATCATTAACTTAGCATATACCCTAATTATATATAAAGAAATGTAATTTTATTACAATCTACTCTTATTTCATATCCAAATATATAAAATGATATTCCTGAATGGTTAACAAATTGGCAGAAACTTAATCATCAATAAAATTATATTAATATATTATCATGTGTGGACAAAGTCAAGTTTGCTTTACAACATTTAAAGACAATGTAACCGCCTATTTTTCTAGTATCTAACATTTTCAATTAATTCTGGAACAATTATGAAACTAATACTCAAAAGATTTAGTTAGAATCCTCAATCATTAATGAAATTGTCATTTTCCTAAAAAGACATTCTAAAATATAATAATGCATTTAAGGTTTAGAAATAATCAAATAGATCAAATATATAATTGATCAAAAATAAGATTACGCATTAGAATTAACAAGAATGTTATTTCTATTATTGAGTGAACTTATTTTAAATATCTAATCTTGTTAATTTAATAATTTTGCCTTTGCTACTATTTTATATTTTATGTCATTTACTCATACATACTTTTCATCCACTTAATATTAAGGCTTTGATGCTAAACCATTTGAAGAGAATGAGTTTGAATATATTCCTTAACCAAAAAATAAA